TCCTGAAGTTTCTTTTTTCTTTCTCTGAAAGGGTGCTGTCTGGAGTATTTCCCTCAAAGTAGTTCGGCAGACTTCCCAGGAGCATTCCTGGTTTTGTATGAAAAATCAGCTTTTTTAGTTCTATGCAGGGCAAAATGCAATCTCTGCAGCACGGGCAGGGTTTAATAAGACTGTCTGCACAGCATCAGGCAGGTTTCTCTGTTTAGCTTGCTCCTTGGATTGCTTCCCAAGTCACGTGCTCACAGATTAGATCAATACATTACCTAATGGGATGCTTAAAAACACTTCCACGATTTGCTGATGTGGGGGAATGGTGAGGTAAAGTAATAGATTTGGTACCAGATCTTAGAATGCACGACTGCGGTATTGGCAGAGCCCCTTCTCGTGTGAAATGCGCTGCTGCAGTGGTGCATTGCAGGAAATGGATAAAAATCAACACCCAGAACGGATCCACGCATCACGTGCATTTGAACCTTTACGTGTTTTCTCAAGGCAAACATCCTTCCCGCTTTCAAAGGAGTCTTACTACAGCAAGAGTGATTGAATTTGAACAAGATCCGTTATTTAAATGGGTTAAAAACACAATAGGCTCTTAAATGCATCCTTTATAGAGTACTTGAGAAATCATTTAGATTTCTAAGTGCTAGTGGTGGGGATGAACACCTACTAAAGGAGAAGCAAATAAGCAATTTCAGCGTAGTCATTTGAATTCAGAGGAATTGCTTTGTTCTTGTTGAAATACAGCTTTTTTACTACAGTGACTATATATGGGAAAACAGAAATTATCTTTAGAGCATCCTTCTATTTTCTTCTCTAGCTTGTGCTGTCTGTCTTTTCCTCCCAAGTTTCATTTCACCCTTGTACCTGCTATGGAATTTTGTGTGAAACAAAAAAAAAATTGGAAAAATGGAAATGGAAAAAATTTGTTTTTTAAAAAAAACCCCAAAGATTTAGTGTGCAGCTCTTGGCATAATATATCATTCAAAGTAGGGAGAGCCAGAAAAAAATCTTTATGTGGAGATTAAATGATAACTAGTCAGATCTTTTTTTTTTTTTTAAACCCCAAATACAATTCTTAATTTCATCAAAGTTCTCTAGTTTTAGATTTACTCGCACTGCTCTCTTGAGAAGAGCCCTTGAACTAAAGCTGTGGTTTTGGAACTCAAGTTTCACATACACGTTACTCTGTCTTATTGGGATTCCCTTGCTGGATGCAGCATCTTGACTAAGGTGTAATGGAAAAGTTATATCAGTTTGGAAGGAAGAAAAGTTTCCTCAAGTTGCTTTCTAGCATCTTTTGTAGCGTGTTCAGAAATTCCATTTTCCCTCATTCAGGGTTCTTTCACTTACAGGCCGAAGTAGGATTCGTTGGAATTAGCCAATTAATCTAATCTACAGAAGGACAGCAAGCTGCTCAGATGATCATAATGGTATATTTTTATTTACACTCAGTTTGAGAACTGTGACATTATTTAACAACTTAGGCTATTTCATCTTTAATTACTTGTAGTTTAATTACCTGTAGTTGGCTTTTTTTTTGAGGTCACTTTCTGAACACTTACCAAACCGCAAAGTCCTGTAAGTAGTGCACAGTTTTGCTGGTACTAATAAAATCTTTACTGACACCCTGATGTTAGTGGGGTTGGAAAAAAAATTTACAGTATTGATGGAATATTCTTTTAAAAAAATAATTGGCTTTTCTAATCGGACAATATCATAATTAAGACTTGGTTGCAGGAAGTGAGTGAACAATACTTAAGTTGATTATTTTTTTTTTTTAAAGCTGATGTGTCAGAAATGTGCACTGACTCAGAGTAACTGAATCATCCTGTCAGCATGTGGAGGAGTGATTTATATGCCATATCATGGAGAACTGTAGAATCAATTCCCTCTTTTTGTTTCTTGAAACCTAAGAACATGGCTTTGAAGTTTTAAATATTTAAATTTATGAAATATCCCAGCCACTGTACTCATGGATGATGGGTCTGTGGCATGCCTGCCTTCCGAAAACAGAGCAGTGACTCTTGAAGCAGATGTAGACTAAGAAGCAATAGAAATGTCGTAAGGCAGATTTGACCTGAATTTGTTACTCTTGAGGTGCAAAGAGTACTCAAGAATAATACATCTTGTCAGTTGTGGTTTAATATTGGTTTTCTCCTCCCACAAGGCAGAAGAAACACTGTTGTTGGAGTGGCCGTAGGGTCTCTTTCTTCAGCAGAGCAAGAAGTGGTGGTCAAGTTATGTGACCTTTTGTGATTATCTGTCCTTTTTGCTTTGAAAAAATAGGCTAAGGGAAGCATGCTGTTTGCCACTCAACATGCACTGCTGTGTCTGCGTTACGTGTGGGCAAGAATTGTTTGCAACATGAATGAATAAGAATAAAAAATAGAAGTCTGTGCCTAGGCTATGGTCCAGACATGGCAAGGTGAATAAGAGAGGCAAAAATTGACAAAGAGCTTTGACTCTACCTAAAATGTGTATATTAAGACGAGGAGCTCTGAACATGTGAGGAGATGTTTAAATTTTCCTTTAGTGTCTTGATCTGTAGCCCAATGAAGGCATTTGCACTTCGTATCTGAAAAGTTTCAGTCAAAAGTCTCTGACTTTTGTGTTTTGTGGTTTTTTTTTTCTTTCCCTTCTTCTGCAGTTAAACTAATGAACCCTGCAAACTTTGAATCTGTCTCTTCTGTTCATGTGTCTGTGTGGGATTAAGGATTCAAGAAAGCAGAGTTTTATTGTGGGAGCTGCCGCAGGTTCCTGAGGCTCTGGGCAAGTGGACACTTGTTTGTTGCTTTCTCCTACTCACCTCTCCCACCACCGTGTGGAAGCATTGCTGGGAAAAGGGGATGGAACTTAAAAGGATGTATTTGTTTATCTCATAATATCTAGTTTGAACTCAAAACAAGTTTAAACATAGAAACATGAAATTGCAACAAGAGGGAAAATACTGAGAATTACAGATACTCTGCTTCCAGATATCTCATAGCATTGCTAAATTTTGCCTCTTGGCTTAAGAGCTGGCAGCTTCTGCTGCCTGAATTACTGCTGTGGTGGTTGTACCAGGGTTAACTTTGGACTAGATTTCTCAATTTCTCACAGAAATCCTACTTCAAAATTCAGCAGCCGCAAGCGGGACTCCTCAGTGTCTCCAAGTGCTGGACTTCACCTTCTTTCAAGTCCACTGAAGTGCTGCCTTGGAAGGACTAGTTTGTCTGAGCTGAGGTGACCCTTCTGGAGCACAAATGCTGCTTCTTGGGAACAAAGCAGGTTATGGTGACAAACTTATGTATGGAGGGAGAATCTCCCATGTGCACCTGTATTCTGTAGGTGGCCATGTTGAGAGCTGCACAACAAACACCTTAAGCCACGTAGAATGAGATTAAAGTTCTTTCTGAAGGGTTAGACCTGGTTTTGGGCTGGGAAGTGAAGTGTACCCCTCTGAAGACTTTCAGTAATGATGATAACTTACTAGAAAATTAAATGCTTTCTTGTTTCCGATGTGTCTAAATGTTACGTCTGTTTTACACAAAGACTTACTTTAAAAGGTGGGGAAATTAAAGTAGATTTGCGTTGGGAAGTTTTTACTTTCCTGATGCTAAGAATTTGGACGTGATCAAACACTTGCAGGGATACAGAGGTAGTGTATTTGCTTTAGGAGTGCCTTAAGAATCTGCATCTTTGGGTTACTTGTGAACGTGTACAGTGTGACAACAGCCTCCTTGTGATCTTCTAACCTCCCAAGCCTCCCACTGCCTCGTCAGCGTTACCTAGTTCATCTCTTCCTGTGAACCTTTGTGGTGAGCATGGTTTGCAGACTCTGAAAGGTGGGAGGTCTTTGGCTTACAAGCTTGTAACTGACAACAGCTCTGTTCCGAAAGCGCTTCGATATATTTAGCGTGAGCATAAGAGGCAGGACTCCTGAAGTACCCTAGTGGAAAACTTCTTTAAAAAGATGTTTTCCTCTCATGTACAATTAAATAAAAACTGAACTTCTAAAGCTACTTCTGAAATAGCTGGAAATACAGAAGGATGGTTTGCGGTAGTGAAGGTCTACCATGTGCCTCTTGCTGCTTCTGCATGGTTTGCTTTGCAGGGATAGCATATTGCCACTCAGAATTGCCATTCATTGATTTTAGGAGCCAATATTATGTGAAGTTGAAACAGGTTTGTAGGTTTTTGGAACAACTGATGCTGTGTGCCCGGTGTGACCTTCTTTCTTTAGGTGGAGCTTGAGCTGGCGCAGGAAGAGAGCAGGAGTGGGAAGTGTTGGACAGAGAACTGCTAGGGCAGAACAGCGCCAGCTGGATGCGTTAATTTTCTCCACTGCTGTTTTGATGGTAGGATGGTAAACTGATAATCAGCTGTTCTGACAATTTGGGAAGACTTGAAGTGTCAGCAGTCTAGTTTGACCTACCGATGCCTGCTGCTTTCTTTTCAGCTCACTTCATAACATAGCTATTAACAGTATCGGGAGCAGGTGGCCTTTTAGAGCTGGGACTCTATTGACCCGTGTTACAGGTGATTGCAACCATTTCCCTTTGTTGTGCACTGGTTTTTACACCCTCGTTTGCTAGGCTGTTCAAACCTCCTTTAAAGAAGGTACAGAACCATTGCTGAGGGTCCGGGGGTGAGAGTTACCGCTGTCTTGGTATCAATAAAGGAGATCTGGAGAGGAAAAAACACTGAAAAGGGAATTGGGATATCTCTTGCTCAGTCCTGCAGCTTTGTCAGAACAGTTGTCAGTTACCATCCTTTCCAGTTTTCTGTCGTTTAAAAAACTGGTTTTTGTGTGCAGTTTGTTAGAGTATCAAAGCAAAATGGAAGGGGATAGAGGTGAAGGAAGGCTGGCTGGGGACAAGATGAGGGACTGAATGTGTGGGAAGAGAGAATAGGGTGAGAGATGGAGAGTGGAGTACTTGAGAGTGAGGGGAAAAAAGGAGAGAAGTGAGTAGGGAACAGAATAACATTAAGAGGGGAGCGGAATAATAATGGGAAAGGGTATGGAGGAAGTGGAGCACTCTACATCGATGTCTTATAATAAGGAAGGGGTGTTTTTGTATCTAGGAGGACATGACAGAGAAAAGGAGAAGGGACAGGTTGATTCTGCAGCCAAAATGTTGGTTGACTTCCCTAAAGCAGGTGGACCGTAAGCAAGACCTAACTTGCTTTTTAAGACAGTTGAGTCGTGTCTCAAAGCAAGGTGGTGACTTTATGGATCCAGCTGGTTTTGATTCCTCCTTTGCAGTATTCTGTTTCGTCTCAGGCTGGAGCTGCAAGAGATGTGAGCAGGACGGGAGTATGATGAAACAAAGTAATTTGATTATTTGGGGTGGGGTGGGTGGATGGCAGCTTTGTTCTAACTTAACAAATTGTTTAAAAGCACAGACAGATGAAAAGGAGACAGCTAATCTGGTTAGGGATAGCCGCTGTGTTTTTGATACTGATTTCTTCCTTCATTCTGTCTTTTAGCCTTGTTTTCTTACAATTTTAGAAAAAACATTTTGAGCTATACTGAACAAATAGAGGATATAGATAAATAGCTTCCTTTAAGTGATTGAATGTCTCTTTTAACTTACCATTATATATATATTTTTTTTTACATTCTTCGACTTCTCTTAATTTTCATTGAAATAAAAACTCTTAGGGAATGAATTTTATGCTTTTTAGCCTAAATGATTGGGTTTTATATGCTTGTTATGTCATCTGTTTACGATACACTTAATGCTAAAAATTTATTTTTAGCTGGCTAAGTGAAATAGCTAGTTGCTGGAGTTGTTGTCATAGCAGCAATCTTAACAGATAGGCTGATCCTGTTTAGCTTTTCAGCCAAAGAGCGACCGTTAGGCAACAGTTTGACAGTTCTGCAGTATTTTTCTAAAGATGGAAGTTGTGCTGGCGATGGTGAATTTTTTCAGTCCTACTTTAAAATGTTTCTGTAGGTGTGTGGAGTTTGATTCAACCAAACTATTTTCATCTAACAGAATTTAGGAGAACTTTGAGTACACAACATGTAAAATTCAGGATTTAAGTCTTAATTTGTAGAAGCTTGAAAAGAAATTACATGGTGCAGCATATTGCAAGCTTCTTTGCTGGTTGTTTTTTTTTTTAACAGCCATAAGTATTTTGAAAGAAAAATACCAGATTAGAGAACAGGATTGTCCATCATTTATTCAGTGCTAATTTTAAGTTGTGGCAGACTGGGCAAATATTACTGAAGAACTTTGGGCGTTATTTTTGATGAAATGCACTGCCTGGGTTAGATGATAGCTTGGTATTTTAGGTTTTGTTGGGGTTTTTTTTTCGTAATATGAAGAAGAAAAGGTGCTTCTATACTGATAAGCAAAGGAATAGTGTTTTCAGATTAGTGTGTAAAGTAAGGCATACCTCTAAGTGATCTCTGTAGCTCTGGTAGAGAGCTGGTACAGAAGTTCAGTTACTCTTAAACATATGTCTGAATGCAGTTGCTGTTGTCTGAGAGGAAAAGTGAATTTACTGTGAGGAATTTCTCCTGTCTGTATCTTCCAATCAGGTGGTACTGGACTTGAGTTGTTTTCAGTGTTGTTGAACAAAAGACTTATCCCTCAAATTCTCTTAAGTCTCTACTACAGAGAGTAATTTTTCAGAAGATCGGTTGAAGTACCGGAGTTTAATGCTAAGAGAAGGTTTCGGGTGTTGTTGGCTTAGAGTGCTTCAGGTATGACTGAGAGTCAAAAAGTCTACTGAACCTTCTGTTTGCTTTTTTTTTTATTCCAGGCTTGCTTGTTAAATGTATTGTTATAGGAATGCAAACGGTCATGTCAGTCTCAGAAGTGTATTAATTTACAGTGAATCATGGTATCTTTCATCACACCTCCCCGTTCTGGGTTGCTCTGGGGAATAGTCAGCGCATCGCTTTCCATGCTTGGTTCCAAGCCAGTCTGAAAGTTGCAAAAGTGACTTCTGTAACTCTTTCACTGGTATGGGTTTGATGTTGCGCCACTATTTCGTGGGCTGGTGCAAAGAGATCTAATGAATGAATCTGGTGGAATCTCCCAGCAGAGAAATGAAATGCCATATACACACAAACCTTTTAACGTTCAAGTTGTGTTTACAGCTTTTGAGTGGATCGAGGAGCTCAGTGCTGTGAAAAAGCAGAGTTCGTGCTGTGGTCCCACCACCCAAAACTCCTGCCTCTTTGCCCATTTTACGTTCCTGCCAGGCATCTGCTTTCCCTGAGCTCTGTCATTCATCTGAGTCTACTCCATCTCCCATCATCCCTCCAAGCTTACTAACCTGACAAAAGATTGGTTTTAGTCTGGCTTCAGCTTCCAGGCTAGCAAGCTGAACCAGCGCAGCGAAGGGGCTGTTGAGCAGCACAGCCTGTTGCTTCGAGGTAGGGACTGTGGGTGGGGAGTCATTCCGAAGAACTGGGCAAGAACAGATGCATCCAGACCTCGCTGCCCTGGTGATGAGCATCTGTGCAGCTGTAACGTTAAGCTCATGCTGGCCATAACACCCAAGGGTCGTGCACCAGCAGTGAAAGTTTGTGTCGCTCACGGGGAGCTGGATGGAGGAACCGATACTGGTTGATCTAGGGGGAAGTGACAGGTTCCTTTCAAACACACCTGTCTCTAAGCTTCAGCACATGGCTGTGTAGGCTGTTCTGCTGGTGCGTGGTTGGTGTTGGAATAGAAACACAGAGGTGGAGTAAGGGAGAGGTGGGACTGTGTGTTCTGGCAGCAGCGCCTGCACACCCTGGCTTGAAATGCTCGTTAAACTACAGACTGAGTTGTAAATGGGGTCACTGTTGTCTGCTCTTAGATGGCACCAGTTCTCCATCAAGACTTGGGAATGTATTGGACGAATGGATGAGTTTTCTCTTTTAATGTCTGATTGGTGTTTTTGTGTTTCCCTTGATGGTCTGCAACACCAAGTTGCAGGCACCAAGTAAAAGGGAAAGCTGGCAGTTACGTTGCACTTGGAGTTATGTTTGTCACTCATTTTCTGTCTCTGTTTATTTCAGGCGAAGTCGTGCATTTGTCATATGTGTGGTGCCCACCTGAACAGACTCCACTCTTGCCTCTACTGTGTCTTCTTTGGCTGTTTTACAAAGAAACATATTCACGAGCACGCAAAGACAAAACGACACAATTTAGGTAAGCTGTCATCCCAGCGTGCTCACTGGTGCTTTGTCACTCGCGGTGTTATCCCTGTCAGTTCCAGGCCAGTAAGGTGATGTGTTCTTGTAACTACCTCATTAGACAGAGATATCAATTTTATTTGTGTTTTGGGTGGATTAGTGGCATCATTTTCAACTTGGTGCTTAAGCTTCCACTGCATCACAGATAAGTTTTGTTCACTACTTAAAATTTGAATTATTACTGTTTAGTATTTTTGTATTTATGTATTAGTGTCATATGTAGAGAAAAATAATAGAAATGTCTGTAGACAGATTTTTTTTAATATATTTTTGTGTGCTAAGTGTGAAAAATGGTGCGTTAAGTGCCTTAAACCAGAGCATTTATTTCAGTTAACTTTTTTCAGGAGGTCATGTTCAGTTTTTTATTCTTGCTAAGGAAAAAAAAAACACACCATTATTATTCCTGTCACAAAAAAGACTTATAAAGTAACAATCAGAATTATTTAAACTTTTGAAGTTTTGGGTTGGTGGTTTTTTTTTCTGTCTTGGCTTCTTGCTTCCAGCGGGGTCAGTAACCTAAGTAATAAGAAAACAGTTTAACTGATAGGGAGTACCTTTCCCTCAACTGCCTCAGAAACGTCAGTAAGTTGCCAACAAGTTCTTCTGTCAGCTTTGGTGCTGCATAACGTTCGAAACCAAAAGTATTCAATTCTGTTTTAAGTTACTTGTTGCTTAGAACGTTTTAGAATTATAATGCCAAATCCTGATCGTTTTGTATTAAAATTCTGGTTGTGTTAGAATTAACGTATACAATTTTGCTTGGTGTACAACACAATTTTTCTTCAAACGAAAATACATTCTTGATGGAGTGATATAAGAAACAGGAAAGGCATTTCATGGAATAAATTTTTCTCTTCACTGGTGTGGTCACCGTTTTTCATTTAATGTTCCATGTGCTCATGGAACAGACAGTCTTTATTTTCCATAAAGACAAAGATCCTCCAGAAGGCCAACAGTGCTGTGTACTCCTGTGCCTAAGAATGTGGTGTGTACGTTTACTATTTCTGGGAAAGATTATTTAAAACAGCAAATCCTTATAGTTTCTTCCTCCATATGTGTCAAGAAAGAAAACATTTGGGCTCCATAGTGGTACAGCTTAAGTTTGTAAATGCCTTGAAAATTAGAATACTGGAAAATAGTACTGGATATCTGTAATGTTTATGAAGTTGCTAGCCTTTGAGAGTGACATGGGCATAATTCTTGATGTCAAGGTATGCAGCAATATTCAGTATAAACTGAAGCACAGATAGCTGTACCCTATAAGTTCAGAAGAAAAAAATGAAATGTACGAGTATCTGAAAAAACGGTTAAAAAAGGTGGAGCCGGGCTCTTTTCAGTGATGTCCAGTGACCGCACAAGAGACAGTGAGCGCAGAAAGAAATGCAGGAGGTTCTCTCTGATCACCAGGGAACACATTTTTACTGTGAGGGTGACCGAGCACTGCAAGAAGTTGCCCTGAGAGGCTCTGGAGTGTCTGTCCTTGGAGATATTTAGAAGCTTTCTGGACATGGTCCTGGGTGCAGCCTGCTCTAGATGGCCCTACTTGAACAGGGAGATTGGACAAGGTGACCTGCTGGGTCCCTGCCAACTTCAGCTGTTCTCTGAAAATTGAAAAAAACGACAAACCAACCCTGTATGACAATTTTTATTGCTTTTTACAGGGTGTAATCTCAAAGAGCTTTTGAAATCCGTTCATTAGGTGAAATTATTTGGGAATCTTTACCACCACAGAAGTACAAATCACGCTAGGTAAACTCTTAAGGATTTCTGGTATAGTGCATCTATGTATAATAAAACCTTTTTTGCCAATATAAGGTTTTTGCCAGGTTTGTGGTTTAAAAAAATACAGTGCTAAGTAGAGACTGTAGACAGAATTTACCTGTTTATCTGTGGATAATGTGTAAACTCTGTAATGTTTTTACCATTAAACTTACCTTATTTATGGAGGACCTTTTAAAAGAGCTTTATAATTGCACATGATGTGAGCTGCTGTTTATCTACGTATTTGGGAAGCCTAAATTTAATTACCTAAATTTACTTCTTAAAGTTAATTTTTGTGCAAGGTAGAATTTCTTGTTGTCTGCTGTAGTGAAATATCTTGTGTTTCCTTAAAGGAAACCCAAAACTGGACAGAGGTGGGAGGTTCCTTGAGGATGCATTCTTTTTAAAGACTGTTGTAGTTATTGTCATGGGACTAGACAATTGAAGAGCGTGTTGGATAAGATACTTCCCAAAAGGAATCGCCTTTAGATAAAAAGGGCAAGAGTTAATTATACAAGTCAAAGTACAGAATACAGTATTGTGTGACCCCAAAAAGGATCCTTTTGCAGCTAAATGCAATGTGCTCAGTGCACAAATACATGTAATGTGAAAATTGTACAACTGACTGCTTGATTTCTAGTTTTGGAGATTCCTTTTCTCTTTTTTTAATGTATGTTTTGGTGTTTAATTTCCAGCTGCATGTGAAATGAGTTATAAAAATATTTTTGTAGTTTTACTAGTGCTTTTCATTGCTTTTACTGCTGCAGTTTTCATTGGGGAAATAACATCTGATAGGCAAAAACGAGTTAAGTGCTTTGAAATACCCAAACGAACAGGAATTATTTTAAAACACTTGGTGACTTTTTGCTGAGCCAACATCAGTCTCCATGGAGACTAGCAGGAACTGCACACTTAATCACAGTTCTAAGAAATATCATAGATTTCAGCTGTAACAGCTGTCTGAGCACTGGAAGTGATGTTTTTGCAGCTAACTGCTGTATCTTTCAGGAGGCTTCTGTATCATCGTCCAGAGTGTTCTTACAATCCATCCCTTGTTATCTCTGCTTCCCTGAGCAATATAAATTAGACACTGACACTCTGACCTTACAGTGATACCGGTGCTCTTGCATCTGCTTGCCTCTTCAGTGCATATTAATACTACTGTACTTAAATTTTAATATATTCCTTGAGTCATGGATGTGGGTGACAGGTAGGTGAAGTAAGATCCAGCTACATGAGCTTCTGTTTTTACTCTCTGCATTACACAGTCTCTGTTAGTCGATCATCATGGTAGGTTGATATTTCCATTGGGTTGGGAGTCGTTAATGCAATATAAAACTCTTACGCAGGTGTGAAAACATTTAGAAAGTTGGATAAGACTGACCTTTTCACGACTTTGAAGACTTGGGACAATTCGAACTAGCCTTTTCCTGTTCTTTCAGTGCTGTTTTCCTGCTTATACCCCCTCAATACATGAAAATTATGTCAGTTATAAACACCTATGGGTATGTCCTAGGGCTGCTCAGAGATAATCTGTGTTGAAATATGTAGTATGGGAAGAGTTGTCAGTAGCAGATAAGGCAGGGCTGGCTGTCCATACCCTCCCTGAGACCTGGATGGCTCTTAGCAAAGTCACTGTAAGAGACATCTGATTAGAGATGCCACAGATCTGAAATCCAGCAGCCTAAGCAAAGCAGTATCTTGGCGTGTGGACGTTGTTACTGCAGGAAATAGTTTCTGCTGTTGCAATTTTAATAATATAGAATCCTTAATTTTTTTATTTTTTCCTCTTCTCTCAATTTTATAAAACATGTTTTGCTACTTTGAGGTGGTTGTATCAGATATCCAGCCTTCTACCTGGTAGTGCTCGATTTTTTCCTCTTCTCTCAATTTTATAAAACACGTTTTGCTACTTTGAGGTGGTTGTATCATAGATATCCAGCCTTCTACCTGGTAGTGCTCAACAGAGGTAGCTTAGGGAATAGGCAGCAGTAGAGTTATTAAGCCTTTTTTCCCCTTGTTCTGCTCCCTTTTTCTACTGCTCAGCTCTTCAAAAACTTTCTGAACAGGAAACAGCTTCTGGGTGCTTGTGTTCCAGTAGCTGCCAGCAGCCTGCCCAGTCTCAAGTCCTGGTTCCTTTCTGACACCCACAACATGCAAAGGCAGCGAGTTCCACGGTTTTTGTGAGCCGTACGAAAAGCTGTGTGGTGTTCTGGTTTGCTTTGTAATGGATCTTGTAACTTTGCACTGTATCTCTTTTGTCAGGAATTGAGAAATGGTGAGTAAAAAGTCCTTCTTGATCTCTTCTGGTATTCTTGTTCTTTTTTGATGTTGTCAGATGATTCCTTTTTCCTACCTATAGGATTCAGAACTATTTTTGGCTTTTCTTACTGAAACTATTGTTTGATTCTTCATGTCCTCACCATAACTTTCTTTTTTATTTCTAAAGTGTCCATCTGTGGTGACAACTCTTTGGATTAATACAGTTTACTCTACTAGTGACTCGTATTCTTAGTTACTTCTAATTTGTGTTTCTTAATATGCTGTTCAACACTGAGTTGATGTTATTCAGCAGTACTCTGTGACTCAAAACTTCTTTCCCGAGTGGTAATTGTTACTTCTCTTCTATGTTGTTGGGAGTGATTAGTGTTTTGCTGTTGGTGGTATTGTCTGTTTACTCAGTGTCATGAGATCCTTCTGGAGGTTTTGGCGAGCTTCGCATTTAATTATTCTAAATGAACGTATGCCATCAGCATGCCTTGTCTTCTTCCTATATGATCTTTCCAAATCGAGTTCCAGCACCTGGGGAATCTACTGGTGGTTTCTGTCCTTGTAAAAACTGACGATCCCTTCCGTATCTCTTCTACAGTTGCTCAATGAAGGCAAATACATAGTGATTTAATCCCAGAGTAGCAAGAAGATATCTCTGAACTGTAGCACTAAAAGAGAAGAGAGATTGGTGCTGTAGAGAGAGTTCATCTTGAAACTGTAGTAGTGATTCTTTTATCAGTTCCTGACTGGGACTGAAAATCCTGGGCAGGTACCAAATGAAGTTTTAATATTCTCTGAGTTAACATTTTCTATTACATAATGATGAAAACATTTTAGGGGAGTTTATTGTGTGAGAAAGCAAAATTGATGATTTTGGGAATAGAGTATTTATGTTACGTTGCTTGGGTGTTTCCCCTCATATGC